CTTGGCGCGCCCTAGGGACAGCTGGCCTCCTCCCCTTGCTCCTTTATATATGGGGGCAGGGAGCACCCCTAGACACATAAGTTGATCCACGTGATCGTTTTCTTAGCCGTGTGCGGTGCCCCCTTCCACCATACTCCTCGATAATATTGTAGCGGTGCTTAGGCGAAGCCCTGCGACGGTAGAACATCAAGATCGTCACCACACCGTCGTGCTGACGGAACTCTTCCCCGACACTTTGCTGGATCGGAGTCCGGGGATCGTCATCGAGCTGAACGTGTGCTAAAACTCAGAGGTGCCGTAGTTTCGGTGCTTGATCGGTCGGGCCGTGAAGACGTACGACTACATCAACCGCATTGTCATAACGCTTCCGCTGTCGGTCTACGAGGGTACGTAGATCACACTCTCCCCTCTCGTTGCTATGCATCACCATGATCTTGCGTGTGCGTAGGAATTTTTTTGAAATTACTACGTTCCCCAACAAGGACAACCTGTTGGAACCTCTTATAGTGATTAAAACGCTCTTGAGGACATACGGGAATATCATCAAGTTACTTTCATCATGATTCATCAACTTACGTTCATTGCATTGATAAGTTGTTATGTGGGTGCCTTGGAGCTAAGGTACTATTCTTACTTGAACAAACACATACTTATAATTGTAGCCTCCACGCAAGCATCAACAAATACAAGAGAAATAATTAAGATAAATCTAACCATAGAATTAAACACGTGGATCCAAAACAGTCCCTCATCGAACAATTCATAAACTGGGGTTTAGGTTTCTGTCACTCCCGCAACCCATTATCTACAAATTAATTCCACGATGCCTTTCCCTAGGCCCAAAGATGGTGCAATGTCATGTAGTCGACATTCACATAACATCACTAGAGCAAGAACAACACAACTTATCATCAAAACATTGAACAATTATCAACTTCACATGATTACAAATAACAAGACTTCTTCCATGTCCTCAAGAACAAATAGAACTACTCACAACTCATAATATTGAACATGTTTAGTAGGTACAAATATGCAATCAACAATCTGAACATAATGATCTTCCACCAAGTAAATCAAATAGCATCAACAACAAGATGTAGTCAACACTACTAGCACCCATAGGTACCAATCTGAGGTTTGATACAATGATTGAGCACAAAATACGAACTAGGGAGATGAGATGGTGCTGGTGAATGGGTTGATAAATATGAGGCCTCCCATGATGAGAGGAGAGTTGGTTATGACGATGGTTTCGATTTTCCCCTCGAGGAGGGAAGTTTCCCCGGCGGAATCGCTCCACCGAAGAACAAAAGTACTCCTGCCCTGGTTCCGCCTTGAGACGGCGGCGGAAAGTCCCAAACGTGTTCTCTTTATTTTCTTTCTGGGGTAAATGGCTTCATATATGAGAAGGGCATTAACAGTGGACCTCTGTGGGCCACACAAGACTGGGTGACGCGCTCCCTTGGCTTGTGGGTCCACCGAGGCCCTTCTTTGTGACTTCTTTCTTTTAGTATTTTTTATGTTCCAAAATAAATATCCGTAAATTTTCAAATTATTTTTTGCTTCAAAGACTCTGTTGTAGCTTTTTTTAGGTCAGAACTTCAATTATCGATAATCTCCCTCTTTTAATGTATCTTGCATTTTAAGGGGGGAAAGGCATTAGAACTGCATCATAATATGATATGTAACTTTAGAATAATATGAATAGCAGTAGAAAATCATGATGCAAAATCGATGTATATATTTGCTACACAAGGAGGTGTTTTTTGCTATATCAAAATGAAACCACCAAAATATAGACATTGGGTGTTGAAACATCGTTTTAAAATCCAAAAGCGTTTTTTTAGGAGTGGATGCTCTTAATCATGCATGCATTCATCAGTCTAGGAGGAAAATACAAAATTATGCTAGTTATTTTGAAGTTATTCTAATCTTGTACACACACAAATTTGCAATTATTTATTTGCTGCTGAAATTTATCGATGCAAATTGGATTTTGGATAGAAGAGTACTTTCATCTATTTAAGATAGAAGAAATGTTTTTTCTATATAAATATTAGAAAGAATCCTTCTAATTTATGTATTGATGTACACACTATAGATCAGCCAACTGAACAAACGATAGGTGTAAGGGCATCTTCAAAGGAGACCCTCAAAGCTCCGGCATATGTATGAATTACAGTGTCCCGGACCATTTGTGTCAACTTTTGTCATCCAATGGAAACCCCCCATCGGTCCACGAAGTTGTTCGGACGTCCATTTTCCAGCAAATCCGAGAGAAATGTGGGGAGCAATACTTGTGTCCGGAATCCACTTGACCAACCAAAGCC